TGAGTTAAATGAATGTTTGGGGGTAGTTTGTTTATTTGTTTTTAGATTGCCTTTCCTGGTTCTGGTGCAGTATTTATTTATGATGTGTTTGCCATCTCTGATACCCAAAAACATGAACATCAAGTCTTCAGTAGCATGCAAGAAAATTATTTAGAAAACAAATCACAAGAACATCTCATATTCATCTCATTGGTGTTGCAAAATTAAGGGGAGATGAAAAAAACATAGATATAAAGGAGATGTGAGGATAACCACGGGAAGAAATAGAATTTAGAATTTCCTATCTCCTTCACCAATGGATTCCTACTAATACATCCTACATCCTGGTAACCTTATTTGCTTTACCAGGCGTGATGCTAAAATTAGCTAGTCATACATTTCTCAGGAAGTAGTAATTAATTGGACAATATTTGTACAGGGCTTTGAAAATGTAGTTCCTAATTTTGCAAACCCTTTGTCCATAATGCAGATTAATTTAATCACATAATTACTGCATTTCTGGACTTTGGTATACACAGTTCCCCAGCTCATGTGTGATGTATAATAATTGCCTGTGTAAACTGGCAAGAGCCACATTTCTCAAACACTGTGCGTGCACATTTGAAAATTGGGATCACAGGTAGCACTCCATTACTAGGGCTTCATTTTAAAATACTTTGTTGTTTTCTAGTCTGTCTCTGAATACGATTTACTCCTGTTTATACCCTGTCTCAGCAAGGCTCTGCTCAGCCCAGCCAGGGATTTGAGCCATTTCCATGCCAGCCTCTGTCTCGATGGGGAGAGCCACTTGCAGTGCTGTAATTTTGTCTGGGGCACCTGGTCCTTTGTGTGTGCCAATGGAATGGGCTGGTTCAGTGATAACCATCAGTGTTAAGCCTTTTCACATGAACAGTCTGTGCTATTTGGACTGAAAGGGTTTTTTTTTCTTTTTCTTTTATACAAAGTTGTTTGTACACAGAGAATGCTAAGAGATCTGCCTTCTGCTTTAGCTCAATTTGTCATAGTTTCTACCTAAACCAAGAGGATTTAGCCCTAATTTAATATATTCTTTTGAACGTTTTTCCTTCCCAGACCCTGTATTAGATTGCTCCAGCATCTCACTCCTTTATTGGTAAAGGACCTACTAATTTCCAACCTAAATTTATTCATGGCCAGTTTATACCCATTTGTTCTTGTGTCAACATTGTCCTTTAGTTTAAATTGCTTCTTTGCCTCCCCAGTGTTTATCCTCCTGGTGTTATTTATAGACAGCAATCATATCTGCTATCAGCCTTCATTTTGCTAGACTAAACAAGCCAGGCTCTTCTCCAGTGATGGGCTCTTCAGTGCCAGCACCTGGTTGGATCCAGGGGCTCAGCAGCGAGCACGAGGGCCTGGCTGGTGCCCAGCATCCCCAGGAGCCCTGCTTGGCACAGGGGGCAGGATTGCCAGCTGTGCCCTGCTCAGAGCTGCACACGGGGTGTTTGCCCCTTGCTTGGCCGCAGGTGGGACATGGGGACAGCCATCCTGCCTCGTGTCCGATACAACAGCTTCCAGGAAAGTTTTGTTTTATGGGTGCCTTGCTGCATTTTCCTGTATTTTGTGTTATTAAATCGCATTTTTCTATTATGCAGTTGCCCTTCTTCCAAGCTGCCATTTCTCCTGTACAAGGCACCTTTTTAACCAAGCCCCTGACTAATTTCCCATTAGCCAGCTTAACAAATTCCTTCAACTAATTCCCATCTTCTGGAATTCAGCTGATGTGTTTCTTTGGGGCACTGTGTCAGATGACTGACAGAAGAGCTGACAGATTAGATCTGCCACATTCCCTTTAATTATTCCTTCCTTCATCATTTTTTCCTTTAAAATTCCTTCTTAGTTTTTAGGTCAGACTAAAAGCTCTGCACTTATCAAGATGAGTTTTTTTTTTTCCTTGGCTGGAATAGAAACAGCACATTTGCTTTGCTGTAGCATGAAGATCTGTTAGATTTATTAGAAACACTTGCCACAGGAGCTCCCACAGGCTTCAGTGGGGCTGGGTTTTTAGTCTGGACCCCCTTGGGCCACAGGCTCATTTCCTGAGCTCCCCAGCATCACCATCAGAGCAAACATACAGTAAATGTTAGAACCATTTTGCTTTACCTCTATGCTGTAATTTCTGCCCTGTGCTATTTAAAATGTCATTTTTGCAAAGAAAGAGAATAGGAGAATTATTCTTTATGATCAAAATGCCATCAAGAAAATGTCTCTCATGCTTGGGGGCATGAGGCTGCCTTTTTTTTTTTCCTAATAGTCGTAACAATAATAATACTATTAGGACAACAAACTGAGATGCCCCTGGAGATGATGTGACAAATTGGAAGGACATGCTGAAATTGAAATTGATTGAATAGTTCAATAAAATCAGCTTAATGCACAAAAGCAAAAAGATTAGCTAGAGAAAAACAAAAAATCAGTAATTTGTTATCTGCTGGGACCAATCTCACTGGAGATTGAAATAGTTATAAACTAAAACTGGGCACTTGAAAGGAGCACCCCTATATGCCCACAGTGCTGGAGCCTTTGGGATGGAGCTGGATGTGAATGGAAACCTGAAGATTTGGCAGATCAGATCTCAGACTGCTTCCATTTGGTGGACTTGGCAATGTTGGCTTTATGGCTGGACTTCATCTTAAAGGTCTTTTCTAACCTAAATATTCCTCTGATTTCCTGTGTCTGAGTTCTGTACAACTCCCCACACCATTCTTCATGGCAAAATCCACTTTTGCTGTAAACACAATAGTTTTGTGTTCAGCTGATGGAAATCAGTGCAGCTTTGGGGGTGTCTCTGGGGTTCCCCCAGCAGCTCATTTCTGATGTGTACCCAGTGCTATCCTGAGATCCAGCAGCTCCCCAACGTGTGCATTCCCATCATGGTCCTGCCTGATCACTCCATCCTTTGGGATCTGCTGTAATTCCCACATTTTCTCACCTGGCTTGGACTGCCTGGTCTTGATGCACAAATGCTGTGTTCCTTTGCCATCCCTCCCTTCTTTCCCTCCTTCCACACCAGCTCCTTGTGGCTGCTACATTTGCACACTCTAATAAATTCTGGCCATTTTCCTTCTCTTTTTTTTTTGTGTTGTATGATCTGATCAACATCTTTCTTTTAAACTTCTCTAATTTAGTGCTCTGAATTTGTGTGTGGGTTTTTTTATTAACATTACAGAGCTCAGTGAAGAGTGCTTTGTTAAAGAAAGTAATTTTGTTGTAAATCTGTGAGTACACGCACACAGATGTGTTTTTCTCATTTATGTGAAATTTCATTGCTTCTACTTTTATAAGTATCCTCCCCACTTCTATGATTTAAACCTTCTGTTATTTAAACCAGAGCATTTGGCCTGCTAGGAAATACTTCCATCAGCTTCCCAGGTAGTCTATAAGGAAGAATAAGGAAGGAAAAGCTAAATATGAAATAGAAATTACATTCACTAATAAGGACATTTCAGCCTTGTGCAGTGCTTTACAAATGGAGTAATGAACAGAGCCTTCTTGCATGAGCCCAAAACAAGGGCTAACAATAGTTTCTCCCTCATGTTTTATTATACAAGATAGGAAGAGATAATGAAAGTGCATTTCCATAATATATTCCAGTTGCAAGGTGCTGATGGATCCCTAAGTGTGATGTCTTGTCAATTTAGCAGGTCAATTAAAAGCCCTGGAATCAAGATAAAGCTAAAATGCAGATCTCTTATTCTGGCAACTCAGAAGAACTAAAGAACTGAGCCAGTTACAGCACTTCAAGGATGTTTATATGGGAATAAAGGGACCTAATTGACCTAATTCTTGCCCTTTGAAACTTCAGAGGACATTGGACATTTTACACACACTTGTAGCACTGGCACCTTGAAGGAGCAGCCCTGGTGTCTGAGCTGTGCTCTGGGGGCAGTTGGTCTTTCCTTGCACCAAAGTCCTTCCACCTCACTTCACAAAAAAGCTTTTCCTGCATAAAATTCAGCCTCCCCTTGGTTCACACCCCTTCGGGGCTCTCTGATGAGCCACCTGCAACCTTCAGGAGCAGGGTTGAGTTGAGCTTTTGCCTGGATCCTTGTCTAGTGTTTGTGCCTCCCTTTGCCTGCTTTCCAGGAGAGGAGCTTTGCTTTCCCATCTGCCTCTAAAGTGCTCTGTGAGCATGACAGTAATCAATAGTAAATTCTGCAGGTCTAAATGAAAATTTATTGTTGAGGCCAGTTTAAAGATCAGGAGAGTTCTCTGGATGCAGGCAGATACTCCTAAGTAAAGAGATCCCAGGAAGATTTGTACACATGCAACATCAGATGGCCTCTCCTCTTTTATTCAGGTTTATTTTCCACTTGCATTGACTTACAGCATCCTTTAGAACTTCGCTGTGTGATTTTTATGGCTGGCTCTGTGAGGTTTTTTCCTTTGAGAGCTGTGTGGTAGGGGGTGCTCAGGAATTTAAATTAGTTCTGCTGAACTGCTGTTTATTGCGCGGAATTATTTTTTTCTTCCATACTGGACTTAAATTCTCCTTATTTACCAGGATTGTGGTAAGGATTGAAACACGAAGAGCATTTTAATGCTTTTTGGGCATCAAACTGTGTGAGCAGAACGAGCTGGAGGGCTGCCAGGCAATGTTGATGTCAATTTTGGGGGTATAATGTTCTTAGTGAAACATGTTTTCAGTGAAAACACATGAACAAAACTTTTACTGGTTTTCAGAAGACAAAGGCTAATGTTGCAGAAAGTACTTAAAAGTTAATAAAAATGTCATCTTCAACCAGGGAATTTTGCCCATAAGACTTTTATTTTCCCATGAGACAGGTGATGTCCACGAATCTGTGCAAAAATCACTTCAAAAACGATGCAGAAAAATTAAATGAATTTTTTTACTAATATTTTTAATCCAATTAACTTCTTAGTCTGCTTAAAGATCACACTTGCATATGGAAAATAAACCAAGGTGTTTTACAGGGTGTGTTTTTCTGTCTCACCTTTTCTTCTTTTCTTTTTTTTTTCAGAAAGTTCAGCAGTACATAGTGATTGTTCAAGCAACAGATATGGAAGGAAATCTGAACTATGGTCTCTCAAACACGGCCACAGCCATCATTACAGTGACAGATGTGAATGACAACCCCCCTGAGTTCACCACCAGCACTGTGAGTACCCACAGGGTGATGCGTGCACACAATGGTTTTAGCTCATGGGTGTTGGTGTCTGCTGTCTCTCCAAGCTGCTTGGGCAGATAGGAGGAACTCTGATGGATAACTGTGGAAATAAAGACTTTCAGGGGAGAAAAAGGAAAAAGGAAAAGATTGATTCATGAACCAGCAAAATTGTTTGGTGACTGATTTGGCCAAGGCAATGAAGGAGCAGAAATAACGTGGCAAGCAGCCCATGTCTGATTGCACCAAAGAGGATGCAGTTGTTTCATAGCAATTGGCTGTAGACATATCAGAGTTATTAATACTTCTGAGTGAAATCCTGAGCACTGAGAGATATTTGGGGTTTATGGCTTGGATATGATTTCAAGAGGGCTGTAAGTGCTGTAAATGGTAGCAGGTAGCTGGTAAAATTTGTATTTCACTGATAGCTCTAACAGATGTATTTGTGAGTGCTGGCAGTAAATGTGTAGACATTCTTCAGTACATCTGGTTTTAATCAGTTAAAGATTTTTCTTCTGTTTTATTAGCACAGTCTTCTGTTCTGTTCTCTTGTGTTCCAAGGTATTCCTGGAGGGCAAGGGGAAAAAAACAGACGTTGCAAATGACAAATTTTTAGAGCTGGTTAAGGTAAAAATGGAGATTTGGAAGGTGAAATGATGTGGTCTGGTTCATTCCAGACTTCATAATCCATAGATGTAGAACATCTGAAATGTGCATGGTAAATTTAGAAATCACAGAGCAGTGCAGAGGTCTATATGCTAATAAATGAGAAATGCTTGTGCACCCCCTGTCTGTATTCATATGAGGGTCAACAAGGAGTAGTAAGTGATGTATCTTAAATAGGCATCAAATCTTTTCAAATACAGGTGCTCTAACTTCTTAGTGCTCAAGTCACTGAACACCCTTGGAGGAATGCTTTTATTATTTATATAATTCTGAATTTTCATTCCGTCTTAAAGGGTCTCTAAATATTTATTAGCATAGGACCAAAGTTTCCCCTTAGTTATACTCTTACAAACTGCAGGCATGTCACAGAACTCCAGGAAGTCATGCAGAGCCCAGGTTATGCCCCTGTGGACCCAAGCTGGATTCATATCAGTTCTGGAGTCTGGGTCCTTCCCATCTCCATGGGGAGCTGAGTTTGGGGCTGTGGCATGTTCAGCTCCCAGACAGCATTTTCTCACACCGTGGCTTGAACATGGGTTCTAAGAAGAAAAAGGCACTGAATTCCTCCTGAGTCTCAGCAAAGTGGGCACGCAACATGTTTTCAGGTCTGGGCATCAATCCCCAGGCTGTGCTGCTGCTCCAGTGGATTTATCAACACACGTGTGCTCTGTGTCCATCATGGATACTCCAATCTTTCTGCTGTAAAGTTGTGGTTAAACATCTCCCTCAGTATAGTACAGTTATGAAGAACCATAAAAATACAGCACAGGTCTTGGGCTGTGTGGTCCTTTGTCCTGCCAGGACAGAATTATTCTCTCTGGAAGGAGGTTTGTGTCTGTGGGGCTGCAGGACCTTGCACCACAACACTGCCACAGCTCCCTGGTGTGTGGGGGGACTTCATTCTGCCGGGTAAATGCTTCTCTGCCCTCCCTTTGAGTGAAAAAGGAATGACATCTAGTGGCCATGTCACTTCAGCACAGGTTGTTCCCATGCCCTAGGTCGTGGGTCCGTGTCTGCAGTGCAGGTTGTGGGGCGAGGTTTTGGGGAGCAGGGTGAGCTGGGTCAGGGCTCCTTGCACGAGCACATTGCTGCCTTCTGCAGGGCAGCATCCCCTCCAGATGTGCTGTGTTTTAATGGCACTTCTCAGAGCTGATGGAAGGTGGGATAATGGAAATTTTCTTTCAGGTGAATTCTGAGTATTTAATGTCTCGGTGTGTATTAAACCTGGAAGGAATAAAAGCCATCAGGAGAATTATCCACAGAATTGTGTTAAATGGATTAGAAAATGCTACTCTTCCTCTAAGCAGAGTTGATGTGTACCATTATTTCTCTAATTTCAATCACTGAAGAAAGAGTTTTGCAAGGGCCAAAGGGCTTTACACAGTGGCACATGGGACTTCTCTGTAAAGAGTTGAAAACCAAGGGTGTTTTACAATAATACTTTGTGATTCTATGGAAACAAATATCTTTGATATACTCCTGGGTACAGCCAGGCTGAATTTCATGTGAGTATGAAAGTTTAATATGTTTTTTCTTTTACTGGCAGAGGGAGCAGCATCAGGCTGATGAGTTTCTTTAAGCCTGAGCTGAATCTCCTCGCTGTCCTCAAATGGTCTGATCTGCATTTTAACACCTCTAAAAAAAATAGCAAAAATCACTTTCCAGGAGATCTATAGCTCCTCAGAGAGTGAGAAAGCCCATGGTCTCTTTTAAGTCTGCGGACTGTTTGGAGAGATATTGTATATTTTTATTTTAAATAGTTGTATTGAGATGCTGCTGTAAAAACAAAAATAGACTGAATAACTGAAACTGTGGCTTGCTCTTGGCAAGCAGCCAGATGAGAGGAGCTCAGGAGCTGTATTCCTCCCAGACAGATACAGAGGCCCACCCTATGGAGCTCTTAAATTACCTGTCATTCAGCCAGGGTGGTTTCAGGCTTAATCGTTTCTGGATGGGAATGTAGCTCAGGAGGACCCTGCACCACGCTGGTGTCACAGCTCATGTATTCAGCAGCAGGAATTAATGTTGCTGTGTAAAATCTAACAACAGGATGGGGGAGAGGAGGGCATCCCCTGTGATGGTCAAGAGAGCCCTTGATGGTCAAGAGGCACGTCTGCAGCCAGGCCCAGGGCAGGGGAAGGGGCTGAGAGCAGGGACCACGTGCAGGTTCAGGCACAGCAATGCCAGAGTGGCACAGCCAGCAGAGGTGTGGTGCTGAACGGACATCCAAAATACCAGCTGGGCTGGCCCAAAGTGTACTGCTGGATGAGAGGTGGTAAAAGAGCAATCAAATTACAAAGAAGATCCTTAAAGGTACAAAATGAAGATTTTGTAAAGTAAAACTCCAGAATTCCTGGGTGCTTCCATGAAAACTGATGTTGGTGGGTTTCACATCCTTTGGTCCATCACCTGAAAGGCAGGGGAAGAAGGAACTCCACCTTCTCAAACAAAAGGGTCTGAAATTACATGGGAGGAAGGAAATCAGAGTCTCTGGATGAAACAATTTGGAGCTCAAGTCTGCTGTTAACTCTCCATCAGCATGGCCAGTCCTGGCAGTCCTGAGGATTACCTGCAGCAAGCTGCAAGGCACTGGGCACAGCGAGGGCCAGGTGCCTCCTCTGGTCCTGTCCAGCTCTTTTTTTGTGATGGTGAATGGTTTTTTTGATCTGCAGTGCTACCTGTGCCTGTGCTGAGAAGCATCAGAGAGCAGCCAGCAGTGGGGAAGTGTTTCCTGAGAGACACCACAGGAGTGGAGCATCCCCTGAAACACTATAAACATCACAGGGAGCTGTTTGGGGCATTTTTAGTGGTTTGATACAGGATTGTGACCCAGGGAATGCTCTTCTGGCTATCTGAGGGACTTCAGCCTGTCCACAGTGTTGTGTTCTTTGTGTGACATTGCTGCTTGCAGAAATTAATGAAGGGAGGCAACTCTTCTTTCTGCCAAAGAGGAGAGGTAGCACTGACTCCTCAAAGTGCCCAACCAGGCCATGCCCACAAGCTCTGGGTCAGATGCCATAGGAGAAGGTATTTTAGTCCCCCATGCCCAAGTTTTCTGTGACTCATTCATTTCTGTGGAAGTTTTGGTGGATTTTGCACCTGCCAAGTCACCAGCTGTTGTAAAATATTGACATTTTAACTGGACTGTGTTACAAAGGCTTTGTAGGAATTTTTACTGGCTCTCTTGCTGTTATAATATGAAGGTATCACTGTGCCCTCCATTATCCAGAGTCCTTGTTACTTTTAACAGGGTCATGTCCTCTGACATGTCTTAATTATGGGGAAATTCCTCAGTCTCCCTTCAAATATTTATCTCCTGTGTGCAAGTGAGTTGTGGTTTTTCCATATTAATGTGGATCCATAGGCTCTGGTCAGATGCTCACCTCAGATACAGGGGATGCAGGGAAATTAGAGCTGGTATTTCAGAGATTTAAAGTCAGCTGAGATAGAACAATGCTGGATAGTCTCAGGTGGGGTTTATGTAAGATTGAAGCATCTTTCTTGCTCACAGGAGGAGCACCTTTAATTCCAGTGAAATCTTCAACTCCTCTCAGGCAGGATGCCCTTTCCAGTCTGACCCATGGTACTGTTAATAGCCATTCAAGGATTTCCACTTTATCTGAGAAAATGCATAATCAGAGGGGAGGAGAAGTGAAAGAAATCCATGCCCACACTTGACTCATTCAAAGTCTATTTTTATCATATTCAATCAGGAACAATCAGGCACAGAGAGGAGACGCAGATGAATTTGCATGATCAGACTTCTGTGTCTGAAATGTTAATTAAAAGTTATTTTAAATTTGCCTACTGTGCAGAACTTGTTTTTATAGTAGCCCATGTAAGGAAAATATTATTTCACTGGGCTAAAGTGCTCATGATTACTTGAGTTTGTGAATTCTTGGGAAAACCTGCCTGGCAATCAAAAAAAAAAAAAAAATTGGAGGGAAAGAAAGAGAAGAAAGAAACTGGACTATTCAAGTTCTTTAATCTCCTGAGCCTTAGGAGGTCTTATTTTAAGCTACTTTAAAATTTGCCCTTTGTCACTGCTCTGAGAATCTCCTTTTCCAAAGCTGAGTCCAGTGGAGCCTGTTTAAAGAGGCAGCTCTGGGACAGCATCCCCTGCCCTGCCTCGCTGGCTCATCCTGACTCTGAGTCAGGAGCAGCTCCAAAGGTTCAGGACTGGACTGCTGGGGATGGGTGGGTGCTTCCCAGCTCTCAGGGCAGTGCTGGGCTCTGCTGGCCTGGAAAAGGCTGCCTGGCCAAGGGCTGGCTGAACTCAAAGCAGAGTTGCTGGTTTGGAGTAACCTGGATTCAGAGAGCTGTGCTGG